GGATACCCAACCTAGTTGGTCCTGGGTCCAAAAGGGACAACTAAATTATAGAGCGAAGGATGGTCACTGTGGGGGTCCTGGAGTCTTACCCACTCCTCGTTGAAACAATGACTCCCGCATGAGGTTAGCAAAAAGGTTTGCTTTTTTGGTTCTAAAATGTTGATCTGTTTGATAACATTGGAAGAGTATGCGGGATACTCGTGAAAGAATCACCAATGTGAGAGAGAAGAGGGTCGCTTCAAAGGAGAACCGTATAGGCTCAGTTCTTTAGAAACTCCTGCGGAACCAGGACGGTGACCCATGGCGAAAACGGGCACACCGATGAGAACGAAACAAAGTTGGAAGGTTCATGTGTAAAGATAAGTCAATGTTTACATGACGACAATATAGTTTGAGGACACCGAGTCTACTAGACAGCCAGTAGATAAATGTGTTTTTACAACGGAAGGTTCAAAGGATAAAACCTACCACTCCGTATGCAAGGATCATCCGGTGAACACAATCATGTCCTCCTATCTTCGCATCTTTTTAAGTCTCGAAAATCAATTTTCATTCATGTGGGGGATTGTTGGAAAATGTGTTAAACATTGCATTAAATGGTCAATTTGGGGCAATATTTTGAGTAGGGTTTACTTCCGATTTGGGTTGGGTCAAAGTGGTTTCGGATTCCCCTTGTTAAGGGCTAACAGGTGAATGAGAAAATGATTATCGAAGTTCACTTGTTGAAATGGAAAAACTGGAAAAAGGATGAGTTTCTAGTGTGATTTTTCCCACACCGGAAAACCTAAGGGATCCTCACTCCCTTATAAAGGGAACCCTCTTTGAAAGAGTTAAGATTTCTAGGTGGAAAGGCTCTCTTTGCGCGCATGGGGGTGCCGATCAAATCCCGAAAACGGAGAAGAAAAGCCGCGACTTGTGTGGGCGGGCGACCTGCGCACACGAATGTCATTGGAAAATCTATCCTTCAAAGATACAGTTTAATTTTTTTATTCTTCCCGTAACGTTTCTTTTTTCCGCATCAGAAATGCTCGGACCAGAACTCTTCTGCTCCGCACCAAAAGGTTTCGGACCAGAACTCTTCTGTTCTGAATCAAAAGGCGTCGGACCAGAACTCTTCTGCTTCGCTTCTGAAACGTTACATCAGTTATTGCCCACGCTCTTGTCTTTTAATGCACCTTAAACAGACAGTTTTTTGGATGAATTGGTGGCCAACGTTCTAGTCATTCATGTCCAGCACTCAGGTCCATTAAGACACACTGAACACACAACAAATTTGTCCATATATATACCTAGAAGGTGATTTGCAACAACACTCAAGTTATTCACGTTCTTCACGCAGTTTTGAGCTTAAAAACACATCCAGTTTCCAGAAAAATTCCTTTGTGTTCTTACTTGATTTCCGTTCGCCGGAACAATCGGTTGTGTGCTAAATCGATTTTTCGTAGCCATCGTATCCTGAGAAACTATCGTTGCAACGCTCCTAGCACCGTGGGAGGCAACAAATACATTTTAAGGATATTGTGCGTTGCACAAGCTTTGACTTTTCTGCCCCATCTTCTTTCTATTTTTTTCCTTGGCTATTTTAATTAATTTCTTTGTTTTCCGAATTCACTGAACAACAATTATCTTCTAGCTTTCCTTTTTTATTTTCAAATTAATTTTCCCTTTCTCTTCTTGGCAAAAAATTTATGGTTCACAACATATGTTACACATTTCTCTCTCTCACCTGCAAAACTTTCTACCATACAGTTCACATTTTCTCAATTCACGTGTAAAACCTCATTTGGAAAGATAATTCAGGGACAAAGATAGTAGTAAAGATACCCCGTGCCTTTTTATTCCCGTTTAGATCAATTTCATTCTCCAAATGTATACGGATATGCTTCAATAATTTCAAAAGATTTAGTCACTTAGTTTGAACAAAATTTATGATCATGTAATATAAGTACCAAATTTTGAAGCAATAAAATATGCATGATGAATTATTGATGCAACAATGGTTGATGTACTCACCCTTATATCCACCTTATACCTTTCCATGCGGTTGGCAGACCTAGAACTTTTCCGAAGCGGGGGCACTACTGTATGGATGGAGACGGGTCGGGTGTGAGAATAATCTATTCAATGTGTAGACAATTTTTTTAAACAAAAAAAAGTTATTCAATTTCAGTTTTCAACCCATTAAAATAATTCTAAATAATAATATTCAGTTTCTTGAAAGAAAAACATAATACTTCTTATGAGTTAGAACTGAATCATCATAGCATCATTTCTGATTTTGGATTAGAATTCAAATTGTTTTTGAACTGCAAATGGTCAGAATATTGATTTAGAACTAGGATAGTGTCAAATGTGATGCCACATAATTACAATGTCCAAAATTCCTTCATCAACTTGGGATTAAATTGTGAACCCTAACATGTAACTCCCGGCCGAGCTAAAATACTTTAATTTCTTGATTCAATCATCCCCCATTTGTTACTACTACACCCTTTTCTAACAACATTTTGTCGGATCCACAAGCTTCTTTTTTGTGCAATAGCCACAACAACTAATTGTAATTGGTAAGAACACAATGAATATATCTTTTGTATGGAATTTTCATTAAATATAATCTCAAATCCATTAAGCTCACTACACATATTAGAAGTATCGTCATATCATTGACTTCTAATTTTAGAAAAAGATAATTCGTACTTAACAAAAAATATCCACCAACGCCACTTTTCAAAGAATGACCGTGTTAAGAACATGTCTAATTGTATGAAATCGCTTCATCATAACTCTGTATTCATTTAAATGTCTTATAACAATTTGCATACGCTCTTTGACAGAATCATTACATATCTAATAGTCATAGTTTTATACTCCCTCCGTTCTTTTTTAGTTGCAACGGTCAACATTTCACATTTGCCAACGCACGTCTTTGACCGTAATTATATCTTAATTTTTTTAGTAAACAAATATTAAAAATCAGATTTTGAAAATTTGTAATGAGATGAATTGAACAATATTTTAAAAAAAAATAATTTTCATAAAATAATAGCGTAAAATGTGGTCAAAGTAGAGCATGTGAATAGTGTAAAATTCAACATGTTGCGATTAAAACGGAACAAAGGATAGTATAAAAAAGCGGGGACACTGATTATATCATAAGTAGTAATACTAAATCTCGGGGTCAGAAGCGGGGACACTTGCCCCCTAGGACCCCCTAGGTCCTCCACTGTTCCCATGCTTGTGAATATTTTTTTGTCTATGAATCTAGTTTACAGACAAAATTTGTGTTATTTTATCTGTGCAAATTTTGCACAAACAAAATATTGTTTATGAATGGAACTTGGACAAAAAAACCTTCACAAAAATCATTTTTGTTATTGATGGCCCATCTTTTGCTAATTTGACTTAATATAACTTTGATACTAGTTTACAGACAAATTTTGTGTTATTTTATCTGTGCAAATTTTTCACAAACAAAATATTGTTTATGAATGGAACTTGGACAAAAAAACCTTCACAAAAATCATTTTTGTTATTGATGATGTAACACCGTCCCCAAATGTATTTATCTTTAAGCGAATAATTTATTGAACCCTATGAAATTTTTAGTGAATTTACGAGGTTGTGAATTTGTATTAATTTTTCGCGTGAATAGTAAAATGCACGTGGGGCCCACATCGGGAGTGGGGACCGCCCGATATTATCGGGACCACATATTAGATTCATCTGGGTCTAGAAAATATTTATAGATGGTGGATACTTCATTTGGGCCATGGAAAGGCCCAGAGTTGACCGATCGGTCAATAGAGGCCCAAATACCGGTATCGATAAATTTATCAATTAAAAGCCCGAAAGTGGATTTTGGAGATTTATAAATTAAAGTTGGGGAATGCATATTCATTCTAAATGTTATAATGATTAAGAACACGTAATATATTTATTTAACCCGATAAAATAAAATATATCTAAAACAGTCCGAAAAATACAACTTTCGGGGCAAATTGTACACTTTGGGACAAATTAGGATGACCTCCCACATGAGTGGGGGCCACCCCACGAATTTGTCCACCCTTGGGGGCTGGATGAGTGCTAAGTTGGCTGAATAACAATTGATAGGATGGGGGAGACACCCTTTGACATTTGGTAGACCCCCTCCCTTCACTCATTTGTCTAAATGAGATAAAAACCACCCCTCTCACCTCACCACCTCCACCCACTCTTAGCAACACCCAAGGATAGCAAGGAGGAGCTCTGAAATTCATCATTTTCACACCCAAATTCGAGCTCAAGATAGAGGATCCAAAGAGGAGTGCTTGGAGAAGGAAAAAGGTGTAGGAAAGTGTGGAAATTGAGGTAATCACCTTGCCATAGCTTTTTCTTTATTCTTCTTCTACCATGAGGAATATTGATTATATGGAGAACCCCTGGGATGGTTCTCCATGTTCTAAGTATGAATTTATGGGTTGGAAAGTGGTTCTATGTCCAAGAACGGACTTAGAAGCCAAATCGACCGGTTTGCCGGAAAATAACCTTTTATAGGTTATTTGTGTTGATATGGGTTTTGTGATGATAAAACCTTGTTAGGAACTTGATTTAAAGTATTTTTGAGCTTCGCCGGAGTTTCGTCGGAGTTGGTCAAAGTTCGCCGGAGTTGGTCAAAGTTCGCCGGAGTTGGTCAAAGTTCGCCAAAATTAGTCAAAGTTCAATCGAGAAGCGTAGAACGCGCTTAAGCTTAATTAAGGTGAGGATGACCGACTATGTTGCTTATAATCTTTGGGTTAATTTCATGGGATTTCCTAAGTGAATATAAATGTGATGTGCATGGGTTGTTAATGGTTAAAAATGCCTAAATAAAATTACTATTGATTATAAGTATAGGGGAAAACTGTCAATTACACCCTCGTACTATGGGCGAATCCTCAATTGAGTCCTCCTACTTCGACAACCTTCAATTGAATCCGCCAAGTCTCCAAAATCAATCAATTAGGTCTACATTACCGGTTGGTTCCCGGCTTGCCGGTAATTGACTCTAACTCCATACCCAGAAGATCTGAAGCTACAGCTCTTCTTCAATGGGCTGTTCATGGTCTTCTTTGATGGCATCAAATGGTCATGTCAACCGGTCTGGATCTCTGCTTCCGGGCGGCCTCTGCCTGCGGCGGCGGAGCAGAGGGCTTGCCGTTTGGGGCGGAACCGGCGACGCGGGAGTTCCCGGCTCCAGCTCCGGCTCAGGATTTGCAGACAAGAGCTCGTCCGCCGGGGACGATTTCTGGGATGAAGCTGGTGCAGAAATCGAAGTCGATGGTGGGTTCGAAGAGGAGAGGATCGGGGAGACAACGGAGGTGGAGTTCAGAGGGTACGATGTCAGATTGCCGGAGATCATGGGAGAATGAAATTCTTGGACTGAAAGAGGCATCATCAGAGCATACATCCAAAAATGTATGCGAAGGGGAAGCCACACAGGTGGTGGCCGGAGGAACCGGCCAGGAAGAACGAAAGAAAGAGAAAAGAGAAGAGGAAGAGAAAAAGAAAAAAGAAAAGAGAAGAAAAAAAATCAAAAAAAAAATCAATTGAAGGCAATTACCGGCAAACCGGGAACCAACCGGTAATGTAGACCTAATTGATTGATTTTGGAGACTTGGCGGATTCAATTGAAGGTTGTCGAAGTAGGAGGACTCAATTGAGGATTCGCCCATAGTACGAGGGTGTAATTGACAGTTTTCCCTAAGTATAGTATGCATGATATACAAATTTATGAATAAATTGTGTATGTTTAGATGTTATAAATATGGGTGTATGATGGTTGTATCAACCATGAAATTTCATTTGAGATAGTATACTTTGATACCATGAGGAGAAACCATGAAGGTATAAAAGTGATACTTGATATTAAGGCCAATCATGCATGAAGGAAGAATTATATTGAGATAAGTAAATAACTAGCATTGAAATATTAGTTGGAAATGTCAGTTGAGAAATGGATGAATTCGATCCTAAGAATTTGAATTATAAAGAATCGGTGATTATGAGCCGGGCTCGAGACCGATGTAGATAACGGTGATTATGGGCTGGGCTCTAGACCGTAGTAGATGACGGTGACTATGAGTTGGGCTCTAGACCGTGGTAGATGACGGTGATTATGAGCGGGGCTCTAGACCGTAGTAGATAACGGTGATTATGAGCTGGGCTCTAGACCGTAGTAAAAAAAATGATGAATTGATACTAAATGAACGGATTAACTATAATGTAATAATGCTCTAGATTGAGGGCCTCAGAGATTTAAACTTCGATTATACTTAGTATAGTTGTCATTGTACTTGTCAAATGCTTCCAAGTACTGACCTCCCCTTCACGGGGGAGGCCACCTCACAGTTTCAGGTAGAACTTGAAGGTTGCTACTACCAGCCGCTGTTTCGGGAAGTTTCTGAGAAGAAGACTTGGTTCGTGCTTCTTCCGTTCTTGTTTTGAAAACAATATGAACAATGCTCATGGATATTATTTTCTGAATATACATTTCGGGGGTTTGTATACCCATGTTTGCCAAGTGTGGCTTGAACACTTGTAATGTTGTTTCCGCTGTTTTAAATGAATGATTTACATTATGTTTGTTTATGGATGTACTATGTGTGAATGATGTTCATGACGCCTTGTATAGTATGGATGAGTTGAACTGCGGTTGACTATTCGTACTGTACGGCGGGTTGTTGACGTGTCCGGCTAGGTCCGGGGCGTGACAGATGACCCATCTTTTGCTAATTTGACTTAACTTTGATACTAATTTACAAACAAAATTTGTGTTATTTTATCTGTGCAAATCATACTATATACAAATCATCGTGAGAAAATAGGCAAACTTCCCGCCTAAACATTTGGGTGAATTGGGTCCAATAAAGTGTAAAAATAGGCATCCCTAGAAGTCATTTTTTCCAGTTAAAAAAAAGAGCCCAAAGAATAGATAGGTTGCTACAAAAATTCCAATTGATCAAATCACCGAAAAGAGAAACGGCTAATGTGTAGAGTTCTACATAGTTACATCATACAGAATACGTAGTACTTTATCTCTTCTCTTTCTTAAACTTGGTCATGTTTGGTTAACAAGAACAATAATAAAGTAAAAATTGTGTCATGTTTGTGCAGAAGAGAGAGGATTATTTGCAACCATAAATTCTTTCATTAAAAGGGAAAGTGATAAAGTTAGTGTAACAATAAAAAAGTGACAATTTTAAGGGACGGAAGAAGTATTAATTTTGAAACGGAGATCAAAGCTAAAAAAGTGACAATAAAAGATTAAGATAATGATTATAGTGTGGTGACAAGTTACGCAAAGGAGAGAAGAATACGTAAGAAGTGTTGCACACCACAAATTCTTTGCCATATGAGAAATGAAAAATTATTGTGGGACAGATAGAAAAGAAAACTTGAAAGATAGTTCAAAAAGGAGAGGAGTAAATTAATTATGCCACTCAATAATTACATTTGAACATTTGACTGATAAAGCAATTGTAATTGATAAGAGCGAAATCAATTGATATTTTTTTTCTTTTAAATTAATAAATCTAGCACCTTGTTATATAGGGTTATCAGTTGTTCCTAATAATAGAGCTGAAAAAACTCGCGGCCGTCTCTAGGTTTTACGCCTAGCAGTTTGTACTGGCGATAACCTTCGTTACCAGTCCAGTGAGAGCTTCCGTACAAGGATCTATTTTGCGGCTACTCCGTGGTGTCAGTGGAGAACGTTGTAGAGCACCGAGACAGGTGTTGGTTTGACCGCTGATCCGTAACACGTGTGTGGCGAAGGCCTTCAGCAGGCATCGTGATCTGATTTCATAGAGCGAAGCGGCTTGCACCAGGCACCCTAGGCTTTGTGAGGTCTCTTTGGGAACAACAAATTCATTCATCGACAAGGAAGACAATGGCGGATAACAAGGCAATGTGATTCATGAGGAGGGTGAAAGATCCAGGATCGGAAAAATTCAGGGCCGGTGGCAACGTTCTTATACAGGCAAAAGAAGACAAAGAGATGTTGATCTGTCCCCCTCCTGAACCGCCACCATGGAGGAATTGTGCGACTAGGGTTTGGAAGATTATTTCTATTTCTGATTTAGTTTGGTTGTGTTTTTACTTTGAGTTTCATGTTGTTTTGTTTGTGATCTACGTTTATCTTTGACAGACTCTTGCATTAGGTTGGGGTGATGAGGGATTTACTATAACCACGTTAGGCTCATGTAGACCCACTATAGGATCAGCGAGCCATATTGTTTTTTCCAGGGTGATTGGTTCTAAGTCTGGTTCGAGGGTCGGTGGTTGTATGTGGTCCTTTTATCGTCTTGTTCCCTCGCTGAATGCTTTGAAATCAATTTAAGCCGTCTTTTTCAAAAAAAAAAGAGCTAGATCAATTACGCACTATAAATATATCGATTCCTCTTCATTACTCCGTAGCTCATAGTTCACAGATGTACAAATCCAAAATAATGAGCGTAACTTTGAGCGCAATGAACGTAACTTTGAGCCAGGGCCGGTCCTGCTCATTTCTGGGCCTATGGGCGGTATGCTATTCCGGGCTTATATTCAAGACAAACTGTAAACCATATACTTATTTGAAACATTAATTATAATAGAAGTATCCAATGAAGTTCATAAAATAAAGGCGAGAATCACTTTATTATTATTTAAGTTACATATTTGGACAAAAGTAACAACACGAGTATCAGATAAAAAGAAAAACATTACTAAAAAACGTTTCTCGTAGAACAATGTGAAGCAAATCATCAATAATCGCTTCATAGACTACCTTCTTTCCACTAATAAATATGACAAACAATAAAATCACCACATATAACAACACTAAACTTTCCTTTGAAAGGATAAATGAAAAAAATATTACTCTCTCCGTCCCGAAAAGGTTCGCCAATTTGATTTTTTTGGTCAATGACAATCAACTTTGACTAATAATATTTTTTAATATGAAAATTATATCAAAATGTACCTTATTCAATATATTTTTATAAGAGTATAACATTTATAAATTATATACAAATATAATAATTAAAATCATTGTTCAAAATTTCTTATCATTGACCAAGAAAAGTCAATATGATGAACCTTTTTGGGACGAAGGTAGTACTAGATATTGAATTCATAAGTTGAGAATGATTTATTGACCACTGATGGGAGTCTAAAGATTGAAGTCTTCAAAGAATGAAAGTTCTCAAAGAGACAAAATGTTTGATCGCCAAGAAGACTCGCGCAAGAAGACTGCCAATTTGACGTCCTCTAAAACTACTATTAGGAACTCATATATAGTTTATTGAAATTTGAAAACAAATAAATAATTGGGATGGGATTTGAGAAAGACAGGCTCTAAAATAATTATATAAAGGTTTTATGTTATAATTAAAATGAATAAAAAGTCTTATTAAGAGCTAAAGAGATGTGAAGACTGAAGAGACGTGTCTTTTATTGATGCATCAACAATTATTTTAAAAACTATAACCGATCCTACTTAAAATTAATGTATATATTCTTTTTTTAGCTTGGCTCCGTTTAAGACTTTTTATTTATATTTTAAAATTTCAATTTGTCATCAAAATTAAACATTAATCTAATTAATTGAACTTAAGAATAAAAAAAGAAGCTTACTCAAACTATATATAAATAAAAAATTTTGGGCCTATTTTTTGTTCAATTTTTTCGGACCTAGGGCGGTCGTCCCTCTTGCCACTCCCTCAGAACCTGCCCTGCTTTGAGCTATCCCACTACAAATTTGCATGAAGACGGTTGCAGTTGAAATGTGTTCTCTCCGTCATTGGCACACCAAAATCTGTTTTAATAAGTTTAATTTATTGTATATATACTTATGTATCCCCTCCGGTTCTAAATAAATTTCACACTTTCCATTTTGGGTAGTCCAAAATAAACTTCATATTTCTTCTCACTTCCTTATTTTGCAAATTATCTACATCAAAACAGTGCAAAACAGTGTCAAACAGTGCCAAAAAGTGTCACAACAGTGTACTCTACAGTAAAGTCAAATTTATTTCCTTAATTTGTGTGAAGTTAAAGTGTGAAGTTTATTTAGGACTGGAGGGAGTATATAATTCACTGACTCAGCATGGTGGCGGTATCCAAGAGCGGGGTAGAGGGGGCCAACCGAGTCCCGCACCCTAAATTTAAAAATTGTTTGTATTTTTAATGTAAAAAATTACGTGTTAAAATTTATCTGAAAAAGTTCTTAACATCAACCTAGCCCAATGTTTGCTCCTCGCCTCTGGCGGCAGCTACGGTGGTGGAAGCAACAGCCACAGTGGCTTTGAATGTGGTGTCTGCTACCCTTGTTGTGAGAACGACCACTTTTCTAGCCACATCATGCAATCGACGGAGGTCAAGTCGGTGGTTGTTATGGTGGCGGCAAATGTGGCGCTAGAGGCACACAGAGGTGGAGGCAGAAGCGGTTTGTTTTTACATCATAGACCAGATCAAACGTAAAACAAATCAGACCAGACTTAAACAGACCAAATCAGACCAGATTTGACTTCCGTAGTTATAAAATACACAGAGACCAAACGTTTACTAGACCAGACCAGTTCAGCACAGACCAAACTTAAACAGACCAGACCAGCAAATTACAGTCCAAGTAAAAACATCCTTATTAATAAAAAAAACATTAATCATTCATCATTTATTTTAATAAAACATTTTTATCAATTGTTTACTTATTTTAGAAAAAAATCCAAATAAAAGTAAAATATACAGGGTAAAACTTTTTCAGTTAGAATGTGAGTATGAAAATTTTATTAGTAATCATCATCGATCAGTAAAATAGACTATTTTGTTCTCAGATAAATAAATTTTACTTTTCCCTACACTTATTAAATTTAAATAAGTCATATATGTTTTCAGTTACCAGTTTATATCCAATATTTTATTAAAATTATTACTTTAATTGAAGGTTTAGATGAGTTTATTATTATTCCGTATATTCTTATTTGTGTATCTTACGGGTGAAAATCTAGTTTTGCATAAACAAAATAGGCTAAAGGGTCAAATAGGCCCCTGTACCTTTCCGGATTGTTCAATTTGCCCCCTGAACTCAAAAAAGCTCCAATTGGCACCCTGAACTCCTTAAAAAGATTCAAATTTTACTTTTTGCAGGTCACAAGCCGGTCACCGCCTGAAATGCTCAATTTACCCCCTCAACCCATAAAATTTTGTTGGCATTTTTTAGGGTTGAGGGGGTAAATTGAACGATTCGATCGGGTTCAGGGGCTTATTTGACCCCCTAAGTTGGCACCCTACCGGGTGACGTGGCGGTGACCGGCTT